TCCACTTTGGGGCCTAGGGATTTTGTGTCTCACAAGCGGATGGAGAATAAGGACAAACATACAAACAGGAGTTTGACTATGCCTCAAGTGTGTCGGCCATACCCAACCTACCCACTATCCCTACTATATACTATATATTTGGAACCCTACCTATAGAAACACATAGGGAGTTTCTACCTTATGTTTATTCAACATAAGTATATATATGATGACTAGTTTCTCAACTAACTTGGGTGGAGATTGATAAAGGGTCTACCAATACCAACTTCTTGCCGTCATGGCAGTAAAGAAATAATATTTGAAAGGACTCATTAATAAGTAATTTTAGATACTTGCAGTCATATTTGTGACACTCTTCCCTCTTAGGGAAGATGAACATCCTCATCGATGCATACTCTAGTCTAGAACACTACCAAGGAAACAACTCTAGAAAAATTTTATGGTGTTCATATTTTGTGAGAAATGCATCAACTTAAATGAGTTAGGGTAACCTCTCTGTCTAACACAAATGTACTACAACTCAGACACCTTCTAGCCATCATTGACAATGAAATTACCAACGGAGTTAACCACCCTTACTACTCTAGGTGTATAAAAGATGATATGCCCCTACCTACAGGTGATATAGAGAGAGAAGCTAAAGGCCCCAACTTTCATGAGCAAACAAACCAAACCCATCGGTCAGGTTTTGATAAATTACTATAAACAAATAGTTAGAGTTGTTTACATAGTCACACCCTTTAAATGAAATAAGGGACATTGACGGAAAGGCAAGTGATGTGACTAATCTATAGTAGCTACCCCATGACTAAAGATTTTACCATGCATATGAAGTTTTAAAGCCAATCTACCTATATGTAAGACACAAATCCCTAAGCCCCAAAGTGGAGCCGAAAGGGTGCCACGTGGTAGTGGCCGAAGCGAAAGCCAAATGAGCGTAACATGTTTGGACTAAAAGCTCCAACTTAAAAGGTCGAGAGAGTGGAACTCTTAACGAAGTGCTCGAAGAACAAGCACAAAGTGAGCAATAAGTGAGTCTCTAGAAAAGGGGCACAAGAAGACCAACACATGACACATGGAAGTGTCTGAGATGGAGTCCGAGATGGAGTCCGAGAAGGAGTCCGAGATAGAATCCGAGATGAGTCCGAGATGGACCCGAGATGGAGTTCGAGATGGAGCCAAGATGGAGTCTGAGATGGAATAGAGACCAAGGCCGAGATTGAGACCGAATCCAAGTCCGAGGCCAAGACCGAGACTGAGACTGAGACCGAGACCGAGACTGAGTTTGAGACCGAGTCCGAGTCCGAGTCCAAATACTAATATAGGCTGTTGGGTGGAAGCCTAAAGCGATCGTCCCCTAGGGGGGGTTGTAGGGGGTTCCAAAAGTATAGTAGGGAGAGTGTGGGGGTTGGATCCTAATGGAGTCAATTTGGCCAGGAAAGGCTAGTTTGGCCCAGAAAGGCTATACTCAGTTATTGGGTGATGAGATAGCCACTAGGAAGTCCAAGGCTAGAATGAATACGAATTGACAAGCGGGGTAGCTTGGTGAAGTGTTCAAGAGCCGACTTTAGTTCCCCCGGGAGATCGAATGGTCGATGCTCTCAGTCCAAGCATGGGTAGCACTACCTACTTGGATACCCGGCATGGCTCAACGGAACCTTACTCTAAGCCCATGGCTAGAGCACCCAAAGGCGGAAGGTGGGGAGAGTACCCAAGATGCTAGCATAGGGCCACGGTGTTCCAAAATGTTGTCTTAAAGCCCTAGACAATGGAAAGGAGTCCCATTATCCTCTGGGACTTCCTCACCACATGATCGTATCCTTGGTCACTACACCAAAGGACCACTCCTAGTGGTTGGGCCTGTAGGCCTTGTCCTAAAGGCAATGTTAGCGAACATGGCTATGGACAGAAAAAGGGCTTAGTGGGGACTGTAAAAGAGATATTGGGGAAGGTTATTCCCCATGTTTGCAGGCATCTTAAAGATGCTAAGGAGTGGATCTAGGATGGTCACTCATGGACAGATGCCCCAATCTTTGAGAGATGGGACTGCGATGTAGGTGGAAAGAAATTATTAATGATCGATATATCTTAACTCAAATCCAATAAGGAATTAACATCTTCAATATTAATCACCAACTTTTCCTCTTGTGAAGTTAACATAGTTAATGATTGAATCACTTTTCAAGGAAAAGCTTAAAGCTCAACTTACTAAAAAATCTTATCTAGAACACAACTAACTCAACTTACTACTCAACTTATTTGAATGGCAATATAGCTACTAACTAGCAATTGCACAAATGCCAATAACACAAGCTACAACTAAATCATCAACACTATTTGCATCAAGACTAATGAAACTTAATATCAATTTTATGGGGAGATATCTCATTCCACTCCAATCTCAATGTTAATAATGTCAATAACAAAACATCACTTCTATTCTATCAACACTACAACAAAGCTAGAAGAAAGAAAGAGTGAATCACCACTCAAAGCTCTTTAGCAACCAAGCTAACCAAAGTCAAAAATACATTAGTCAATATCCGAGACTAAACCTTTAATAAAACTCAATTATAGATAATACATCATCAAAGAATGATTCACCACATCCAAGACTCAATATAATCCAACACTACAGACTAAACTCAACTAAATGATATTGACAAAGGTAAAGTCGATATGCTAACATAGAAAAATCATGTAAGTTTAACAACACAATCCTCCATAACATTATCTAGTAAAACAAATCTATTATTACTAAATCATCATCGAGCAAAATAAGTATCAAAAATCTTCTATGAAGTCTACAAACAATCATTAGTTATAAAGTAACTAATAATCACTCTTCAACTTACATTCAAAAGACCCAAACACTAAACTCATATCATCGAATCATATACTTGTCCAACATAAAGGTAATACCCCAAGTACAAGATATAGAAACATAAACAAGCATAAACTAAATGATTACTCGAATTTAATCGAACCACAATAAGCTCACTTCTAATCAATTAAGAGTTTTGGGATATTTGAAGTTAAATGTTCTTAGGTTTGAATAATACTAAACTAAATAACTTTTCAAAAAGTCCAAATTCAAGAGTTTATATTTAGTATCAAAGGGGTCTTAGGTCTAACCAAGGGAATTGCACCATATATTGAATAGTGGTCTGGCTAAACTCTCAACTTTTGTTCATAAAGGCATGCACTTGCAAAGAAGTATGGTTGCTTATAATCCATCACAAAGTGAATTATAAATCATCAAAGAGAACGGCTTGAAAAATAATTCAATAGAGTTTAAATATAAAGTAAAAAGGTTAATGAATAGAAGTGTATCCCTTTTTCTAATCAATTAAAAGCATTGAGATATTTGGGATTAAATGTCCTTGGGTTTGAATAATATTGAGATGGGTGACATCTTGGGAAGTCCAAATTCAAGGGCTTACACTTCTCCCCAAATTAATACTCTATGTCTTGTGCTTTTGATAGTTTATGAATACCAAATTGGGTGAACTATTATAGTATAGTTTCGCAAATCTCAAATAATTTACCCAATTTATTTGGTCTTCGCATAAATAATCCTTTAATTGTCTATTCACCCTTTCTATTTGTCCATCTGTCAAGACTGATTATAACTATATAACTTAACTCAATACTTAATACTTATTTATTGGTGATAGTTTGTGCTGAATTTCAATTTAGTGTGATACTATTTGTAAGCTTCTGAGTTTGGACTTCCCAGGAAGTCACTCAACCCAGTATTATTCAAACCCAAAGACACTTAACCCCAATTATCCCAAAACTCTTAACCGATTGAAAAAAAGGGTGCACTCTTGTTCATGGGCCATTTCCCTCTATATTTAAACCTCATGTCTCTCAAGTCATCATCTTTGGTGGATTGAGGGGTGCACTCTTGTTCATGGGCCCTTTCCTTTTATATTTAAACCCCATGTCTCTCAAGTCGTTTTTTTTAGTTGCTTACAATCCACTATGCTTTCTTGCAAGTTCACGCCCTCGTGAATGGAAGTTGGAAAAGGCTTCTAGCTGCTGTTAAACACCCTATCCTATCAGAGTCGGACCTGAAACCCACTTTAATACCAAATGTAAGCTTCTAAGTTTGGATTTGAGAGCCTTACTCTTTAAACACCCTATCCTTTGGGTCGAGCCCAGCCAGAGCAAACTAAACCTACCAGATGATAATTAATATATGGTATAATTCTCCTAAGCTAATTAACTGATACCAAATATGGGTCTTGGGATAATTAATGTTAAGTGTCCTTAGGTTTAAATAATACTGGGTTGGGTGACCTCTTAACCGATTGGAAAAAAGGGCGCACTTTTGTTGATAGACTTTTTCCCTTTATATTTAAACCACGGATTATCTTTCAAATCATCCTCTTTGGTTACTTACACTACTATAAGAGAGTTTTTTAGAACTTACTAATAAATACCTTATCTTAGTCTGAAATAAATTTCTTCTGGATTTCCTTGCACTCGAACTACTTCTTCAAAGAACACATTCACTACACCTTCACTACACCTTCTACATCCACTTCTGTTGTGATGGGTATAAAATGCACCATTTTTAAAAATTAATCTACTGCCACAAATATCACATCAAACCCATTAATTAGGGTGTGTTCCATGATAATGTCCATGATAAGGCATTTCCACAAATGGTCTGGGATTAAAAGACTTTACAATAAGCCTCCACTAGCCTTAATCACAACTCTCACCTGTTAACATGTCAAACATGCATTTACATATTCCTTTATATCCTAGTTATATTCAGTTAGTGTATTGTCTTGAGCACTTTATTATGTTTTGTAAAAGATTCTTGTTATAACATTTTTCTAATGCTACCTTCCTCAATTCCTCTTTTAGAATATAAACCCTGGACACCAGCTGAAGAAGGTCAATATTCAAGAACAAAAATGATGAATAATACTTGTAAAAACAGTGCCAACCACAAATCATCATGTTTCTGACTCGGCTGTAGCAAATTTTAACTCTTATTTTATTTGTGTTAGCAATGTCAATTGTCACGTTGAGAGCATCGCATTGATAAGCAGTGCCTTGTTTTTGTAGACGTTATGACCCGGGTCAGGGATTCCAAAATCCTCCTTGGCCATTTTCTCTAGCTCTTTTCTGGAGAGAGCGAGGAGGCCAAACCCGTCATCACAGACTTGTGTGTAGTTGCTCTTTCCTGTCCACGTCCTGTGCTGAGTAATGTCTACCAACACTTTGTAATCATCCGCACTCAAACCTGGAATCGAGTCAGTATCAAATGGTTGAACGTGCAGCATGTAGGCAGGCGTTCCGATCACCGTACGCCTCCGCTTCTTGAGTGTGGACTTCTTCTCGCTACTGCAAACGCCAGGCCGTGAAGAACAGCCAATGAATGCGAAGTGCAGCTTCACCGTCGATGGCGACACTGGCGGCTGCAACGTCGATGCCGTGTCCATCACATACTCTTCAATGTCTGGGAACCAGCGCTTCAGGGATGCCAAGCTCATGAACTGGTCCGCAGAATGTAAATGCCTGTCAATGTTGACGGTGAACTGCAGCGCTACAACATGCAGCTCGCCCTTCTCGTCCACCCACACAATCACGCCATCCACGTCCGGGAAGGCACGCTCCCAAGGCTTGTAATAATACCCTGAATTTGGCTTCAGCTGTACCAGTGACTTGATGGTTCTCGACGGGATGCTGTTAAACGTTTCGACACAGATAGCTCCGCAGACTTTAAGCTGCCCGAGGACCAATCCTTTCTTTGGAATCACGCTGGCTAGAACGTCCTCGCAGAGATGGCCCAGGCACAACCAGTCGATTTCACTTGTATCTGACAGCTTGCGGCTTGCATATGCCAACCACACTCCGTTGGCATGGGGCTTGGCAACTTCTTCTTTGGAGCGCACGGTCTTCACGTAGACTGTTTTTATGTAAGGCGAGCAGTATTGGCCCTTTCCAGCGTTGAGGACGTAAGTTGGGTCGAGACTTGCCATGGACTCGTCGGTCAAGTAGTCCTCTTGCACCACTATTCGATCTGCCTTTCTCGAAACAGCTTTTAGCTCGGTATGTTCACAAAACGTCTTAATCACCGCGTCCCAGTACTCGTCTTCTTCCTCGAGCGCTGAAGCATCCGCTTCGTCGTCGCCATCCAGCAGAAAGGCTGCAGCTAAGCCGCTGCGCTCCCATAACTTGCGATCCCGAAAACTGCTCTGTAGCTTTGTTTCACATATCACGGAGTTGCACGAATCGCATAGTACGTCGAGGAAAAGTGGCACAAGTCCGGTGTAGAAGTAGATGCTTGCACGACGAGCAGGAATTTTCCCCAGTATACAGTCTGAAGCATAGATGGAGTACTCATCCTGCATGCAGCCAAATAAAATAAAATAAAAATAAAAATAAAATCAGAAAAAGAAAAAAGTACGTTGTTAAAGGCTTCATTTCCGTAAGTGTAAAACGGTAGCTCCTGGATTGCCTGGCTGGCTCCTGAGCTTGTGCACCACCAGACCCTTTCGCCTGTTGCCAAAACCTGCTGTAAATGGCGACCCACTGCAGAAAGGTGCTCGGAGTTCAACACCGGCTTTCCGAGAAAGTCCGCGGGGTCTAGCTTCTCGCCACCGTCCACCAGGAAATGAAAAATCTCCGGCTTGGAGCCACCCTTGCGACTGCTGATGAAGGAGATGATATCTTGCGTAGACTTGATGGCCTTGATAACAGCTTCAACATCTTGCCAGCCATCCACATTCTCGACACTGTCCACCAGATAGGAAAACAAGAGCGCATCCTTTAAGGCCGCAACTATATCTTGCAGCAGCGTGATCCCCCACAGGAATACCACCCGAGCCCTCAACTCTTGCTTGGCTTTCACAGTGTTGAGCTTTTGGTATAAGAGGCAGGCAAGCGCTCGAAACTCAGACGATTTCCCGATGCCCTTGGGCCCGTAAACAACCAGCTCGGTGTATCCCAAATGCCACTCCCTCAACAAGCCATCCAACGTGTCCTTGCCCACAAAATTGAAATCCACCGGTGGCCGAATGGAAGAAGGGGAGCGTCTCATTCCGGGGTATGGCAGCGACGTCAGCTTACCTGAATCAATCAGATCGTCTTCCTCCAGTGCCAGGATCTTCTTCACCGCCTCCCTTGCTTGGCTCTCCGTAACATACTCGCGCTGGCGCTTCCCACGCCGCACCACAGCTCCCCACGAGCGCATTGAGAGACCTAACCCTAGAACCCTAGATCACCATACAGATTATCGATATTATTAGGCACTCCAATGTCAGTGGCAACATGTATACTTTTCAAGGAGATGAGTTAGTCTACACTAAAAATCCAGAAGGAAAGAAGATCCACATTTTTGAGAAATCATCTTTGCAAAGGTTCAAACATGTACTCCACAGTGAAAAGCTCAAGATAGAATTTTAAAACTCCATCAAAACGCTCAAGGCAATAAATTAAGCTCAATTTCTTCAAATTGGATTTGATCTCAAAGCCTTCATCCATTTGCCTCCAGCTTCAAAAGAAATGCAGCTTGGACACCTTTTGCCAACTGCAAATCCGTTCATGAGACTAAACCACTCACCTTGTCATAAGCGGCACGCATTTCAACAGGGCAATTCTCCCACCAAAAAAATTAGCATACATCTGTCTGAAGTAGTTAGTTTTGAAATCCAGAAACGCAGTGCTCACCTTCACTGCGCTCACCTGACTCGAGCCATCGCTTCTTGAAATAGCCTTTGTCTGGAATCACGTCTTTGCTGCAAGTGAAAAAGAGCAAGTGCATCAAAACACAAAAAAAAGCCATACTTACTGTGCGTGTAACTTGCAGTAGCCACCCCTTTCAACCCAGTTTCCACAAGGTGTGTAGTCGTCATGGTTTCTGCCCATGCAATAGTCCATCACTCACAGCTGCAGGATGCTAGGTTCTGCCAACATGAGCCGCTGGTCGAAGTAGCCTAAATCATTGCAGACGTCAGAGAGCTTTTTAAACTGTACATCGACTATGGGGACTTCCCCAACTTGCTCATCAGGCGGCAAGTCAGTTTGCTTAATGTTCTCTGGCATTATGATGTAGTACTGAACCTCATACTCACTGTAGTCCGTCTTGGCTTCCAACATGCTCTCCTTCCAGGCAGGTATGTAGAAAATCAGTGTAGTGCCGTTTCTCACCTTCACAAACAGGAGATCAATCATTTTCTTGTTGTACACCTTGCAGGGGGCAAAATGGAATTTTATGTTGTGCAATGCCTAGAAAATGTTTACTGTTACTAATATATGCTTGACTTTGAGACTGGCAAGTTCCGGTAGCCAAAACCTGCTTGAGGCAGGTTCTAGCCGCCCGACTGGCTGTTCATCAATGTATATTATACAGTATAGACAAACAATGATTGCAAAGTACAAGAGTTATGCAGTTTCATTTTATTTATTCAAGTTCATTACATCAAAGTGTTTCAGAATATAACACTTTGCCAAAGAATCGCCTGAATAGAAAAAGAGATGAAAAAATTTATACTTGTTTCTTCAACACTATCACTGTGGCCTTGAAAGTGCATTTATATTTGCAACTTTTCTCTGGTTTGTCATTTGAGCTGGTGAAGAAGTTTATGCAGCTGCATGAGCTATTGGAGAAGCATGAGTTTGAGCTTGAGCTGGAAGCAACAGACTTGGAGTTGAATATGTTGCTGGTGCCCCAATTTCTATTCTCTTACTACTTGTTTCACCTCCTTCAAAATTTATCCTGGATCTCTTCAAAAACTGCTATCTCCAAGGCACTTGCATCTCAGGAGAAAGTGGGAGAGCTCCTCTTTGCAAACTATTACTTGTGTCTCTTGAACTAGAAGGGGTTTCTTTTGGAGCATCCTAGACTTGCGGATTTGGTATATAGCGGATGAAGGCAGATCTAATATCTAGTGCCCTTAACAATTTTTCCAACTCGTCATCATCACCATTGCAAAGTACAATTTAGTTCTTAGTTCTCCATGCAAAATAAATAATAATATTACTAACCTTCTTCTCAATTGTTTAGTAGAATCATCTTGCTTATTTTCACACTTACAAAATGTGTTATCTACATCAACCTCAGCATAATCCCTTCCACTTCCACCAATTGTTTCTTCTGGTTATAGTTACTGCCTTTAGAGGTGTTGTTCCATCATTTGTAATATCAAATTTAACACCAGTTTGCTTAGCCATGGATTTATCAGTGGATTGTTGTCGTCTCCTACTCCACATACAAGAGTTCTAATAGATATGGACAAGTTTCTCAGTTTTCTTTAGATCCAACCTAGCATATTTCGTTAGTACCACAGGTAAGAATAAAAAATCCAATCAATCAACTCACTTGTTCTATCTAAGAGTCAAAACATTTCCATATGTGCTGAAGTTGCATTCTACAGCATATTTAGAGGGAACAAGGCCAAGGATGTTGCATGCAAACCTTCAAAGCAAAAGTACTTTTGAATCTAGTTCAAGGCAGCTTACCCACACCATCCAAGGATCAACTACTTCTTCTGTTACAAGGTCTTTGAACAAATGCCCAACCAGTCCAATGATCATCTTGAAAGGGGCCTTGCCTCTGCTCATACATAGGGTATTCCATAGCAAACCAACTAAAATCTTTATGTCTGGATAAAACTGCTGGGTTGCCATCCATAAGTGTTTGACTACATTTGGTCAACTGCTATTGTATCTGTAGCATGGGTTTAGGCACCAAGCTACACCAAAAAGATCACATCTGTGGAGGTAATGCTCTTCTCAATTTGCTAGCATAGCTAGCACAAGTCCCTTCTCTACTTCATACAAAGAAGGGCAGCTTCTCGTTTCTTGTTTTGTGTTCTCAGCAGCACCCTATGGGCCACTATAGGGAAATTGTGCTTGATACTGAAAGAACTCTCTCCAAGTGCTTTCCACTCCACTATGTTTAAATTATGACAAACCCTAGAATGAAATCATATATATACTATTGGATATGCTAGTGTACATATCCTACATATCTAGCAACTAGCCATGTTCATCCTAGATCCAGGATCTCTGGTTTGCACTCCTCATGATGCCTTGCTCTTTATTTCTTTAATATGTTTACTGTTTTTAGAGCATAATTAAAGTATTGAGCAGTAAAGATATTGAACTCTTGCCTAAACTATTTCTATGCAGTGTTAAAGGTGCTACTTTGCCACAAGTATTTAGTTCTACCGTTTTTTATGATGTTCCTTATGCTAAGAATTTCTTTGTTTTGAACAGCATATAGCAAATAATCTGGAATCAAGCATTTTTACTCTATCATATTGGGCTTATAGACTACATTGCAATAATACTAGCCATAGCAACTCCAGTCACTAGAAAAGCTCTTAAGAAGTTGCAAATGGCTATCTTCATCTAGCTTAGTTTTGAATTCTTTAAAATTTATTTGTTCTTTGAGGTGTATTCTAATTTTAAGTAGTGGAATTCAAATGTTATCACCAACTATGTATTAGTATTATTGATTCATAAACAAAAATATAGCAAAGCACAACTATGTTCCTAGATTAGGAGATTGGCAAGCATGAAATATAGATTTGAACAACGTGTTTCAAATCATATAACAAGTCATAAAAGGTAACAATCTTATATGAAAATATACACACTATAACCTGGTATAAGAGCTAAGTGGGCTTTACCACTTTCAACATACCTGAGAAACATAGTATTCCATGAAACACAGTGTCATATACATTCTTGAATGTTGTCCAAGCCCGTGTGTGCATCCACAAAGCTTCCACACTTGAGAATACATGTCAACTATGCAGTTTGCAATATAAACATCTAGCATAAACCTTCTCTTTGCGGACTCGCATTGCAATGCCATCCCTTTCTAGAGAGCTTTGCTACAATGGAAGTTTGAGAGTTCAATGCTTCAATAATGACTGCAGTAAAACTTCTTAAGCTATATCTGACCATTCACTCAAAGTGACAGCCACCATTGAAGGAAGCACCATCCAAGGCATTGATCCAAGTTCACAATAAATCTTTTTACCCTTCAAGTATGTTCTAGCTTTATGAAGCCACTAGCTTATTGTAGCCTGTTATTATATAGTTAAAATAAAGTAGAATCATACTTTAATTTAAATATTTATCAATAGCACCTTGTTCATAGTTTTTCATTTATTATTACAAAGAATGTTTATGATTTCTTATCTTGCATGTCTTATAATGATAATAATGTGGGAATTTCTGATATTAATTTAATTATAATAATCTCTAGCTCCCTTTTTATTATATTTTAATTGAGAACCATTAATTTCAGTTTAATATACTTTTAAAATTCTTATTCTACTAGTGAGATATTTTCCTTTTAGGGTTAGGGCCACCCTTGTTTAGGGTTTGGTGCAAAACAATCTTTGAACAGTGTGAGATATCAATTTATTAACATTGGATTTGAAACTTGGCATTACATTTTTGCCCCAATTTTGTGTTCTCTCACTTCCAGAGGTAGCGAGCTTCATCCTCCATTTCTTGCAGGTGTTCTAGTGATTGATTGCTGGCACCACAGCATGGTAAGGCTAAAGCAATCTTCATCCCATCCAAGATACATCTTCGTTACTTTTCTTTTGTTCTAGGCACGTGGGCTAAAAATGACAAGAAGAGGGGAAACCCAGAGAAGGGATCTTCTATGGATTCACGTAGGTGCTCAATCTTCTGTGGCTATCTAATAAGTAATGCTCTGCTCAATTTGGTTTCTATTGTGCCTACAACACATGAACAAGTCAAAAGAACAATCACAAAGAACACTCTCACCCATATGTGGCCTATATCCCATTGCCATCCTTCTTCTAGCTAGAGTTTTGCCTTCATGACCATCTAACATGATCAATGCAGGCAACAATAGCAACAAACAACCTGTGCAGCTTAAATCCCACAATTGAGTGCCAACACATGCATTGGCTCACATACTCCTGGACAATCTTCTTCTTCAAGGCCACACAACACCACTAAACACACACCAACATGGTTGGCTCTAACACCCAATGTGAGTGGTTAGCTTTTTGTTTTTCTTGTTCACAATACTCACTCTTTGGTTGTTTTTCCTAGTCATAACTTGATGCATTTGCCATGCGAGCACGTAGACAATACTCAGCAAGTAGATTTTCTAAAAGCCCCTAGCACTACACTCTCTCGATGGGGTCCTCAACATTTTGTGATGGTCTAATGATGGATCACTAATCAAGAGGTGGCAGCTT